ATTTGTCTATAAAATATATGTAGATGTTTAATACAAAAACAAGTTCAAATATTACCTCGTCCACTTTCTTCCGTTTATCCACCCATGTCAGCTTCTTAGGCAGGCGTAGCAGTGCGGCGTATGTGAGAGTTTCTCGTACAGTCAGATTGGCAAAGAAGGTGTCTTGCTGCAATACATAGCACACCCGTCGTTTCATGCTCTTGCTGAGCTTCTTCTTGTTCAGCCTCACCTGTACATTTACAGGACACGTAAGATTAGATAGAGAGTATCTGCAAGTCCGCAGAACACAATAGTTATTATAGCTCGCATTTGTCCCAAAAAAACCGCATGTGTGTCCATATAAAAATTCGAGGTGCATGTTATGTAAAAAATGGACCTCCACGTATTCCAAGCTCGACTATAGTCATCTCACGTGTAATTTTTGCATTGGAAGGTGTGTTTCTTCCCATCTTCTTAGGCAGGGATGCAACAAGCAGACAGCTCAGCAGCAAACATTATAGACAACTACACCACTCGGGGTACTTAAGCAAACGATACAGACAACTACACCACTCGGGGTACTTAAGCAAACGTTACAGACAACTACACCACTCGAGGTACTCAAGCAAACTTTACAGACAACTACACCACTCGGGCACTTACGTCGCCCGAGTAGTCCTGAACTCGGCCGCCCAGGACATTCAACAGTGAGGTTTTACCACTGGCACGAGGGAGAGAGATTGGGAAGGATGAGTTGTGTGAGAAGCACTGTGAACTCAAGCGACTAGACGCCAAAACGTTGAACTCAGGCGGCTAGACGCTAAAACGTTGAGCTCAGGTGACTAGACGCCAAACCGTGAGGATATTTAAGATAAGTCCTGATTCATTCAAGATAAGTCCTGATTTATGGTTTTTAAGTATGCAAGATGAAAGTGATGGTCCGCCCTTTTGAAGTCCTAAACAAGACATTGAGATCTAACATATTGAGCTACAAATGTGCGCACAAAATGGGAAACCCTACCACAATACAATAGATGCGAAAAGATAGAACCGACCAACCATATAAACCTCAGAACAGACCAACCATATAAACCTCAGGACAGACCAACCATATAAACTTCAGAACAGACCAACCATATAAACCCAACTATATAAACTTCAGAACAGACCAGCCATATAAACCTCAGAACAGACCAACCATATAAACTTCAGAACAGACCAACCATAAAAACCTCAGAACAGACCACCCATTTAAACCTCAGAACAGACCAACCATATAAACCTCTTATGTCACATCGACGAGGTGTCGCAAAGGGTATGCAAAGCAAACAAAGAGAAAGCTTAGATATGTGATACAAGTACACCTTCCAGAAGGCCCCATAATCGCCAACATTTCCCCGGGGCGGGCAACGCCACACACGCCACTGAGGATGACCTTCTCCTCGAGTTTGCGTTTCCCGGGCACCTTGACTTGAATAGTGCGACAAATGTTGTCCCATTTCACGCGCAAAATAGGGGCGGATTTCAACCCCTCGCCAAAGAAACAGGACTGGCCGAGCTTGGCTTTCTGGCTGATTGAAACGGGTATCATACCTAAAGGTGATTAGGAGCAAAAGGAGCAAAACGTTTTAAACGTGATCGACAGCTATGTATCAAAGGCACCAATTATACGCATACGTAAACCATTCAACGTAAACAGTCAGAAAGATGTATCACTGTGTACAGTATATTCACAGTGTCTATCCATAAGACAGACATACCATCTTCCGACTTGCCAGAATTTAACGGCTCTAGATTGTCAATAGTCTCATTACGTGAGGTGTATTCCCCGCTGGTCGTTTCGTCATCATCATCGCTATCGTCGTGGATATCAACATTGACTACAGCCACAGTGTGATCACCATTCAATCTAGTTGTGTCAATTGATCCGAATATGATAAACCCAGGTATAAATGCTTCGAGTTTAGCCCATGGAGAAGAAAAACATCAATGCAACTCGACGATTGCAGGGGCGAATAGGTGGAGGTGACTACACATACATGTTTATAATAGGTAGTTTAATATGTGCATATGTATAAGTATAAGTAAAAGTATACGTATAAGTATAAGTATAAGTATAAGTATTAGTATTAGTATAAGTATAAGTATAAGTATATATGTTTACATATATATATATATAAGTAAGGGTATGTATATATATATATATATATATATATATATATATATATATATATATATATATATGTGTGTGTGTGTGTGTGTGTGTGTGTGTGT